TCACAGGTCGCCGTGTTCCAGCCAAGCTAAGAGAGTCTCATAAAGAAGGGTACATTCATCTTGTGACTGCATGTAAATATTCTGCCTTCCTGTAGCTTTAGCTGGGTGACTGTATTATCTCATTAATCATTTTGTGAGGGCTTCTGTGTTGTTGTTGTCTCTTCTCAAGGATAGACAGACATTTACCACTTCTGTGATCAATAAATGAGTTATTGGAAACGAGTGCCTATAAACTGAAGTAGCAGCACTGCTGTCTGCTGCTTTTGTTGGCTGACTTGAACAGGATCTGCAGGTGGAAAGAAAAGGCCAGGATATAAGAGCTACCCCAAAAGCAACTTGCTGCATTTGAGAAATCTAATTTCAAAAATAGATTGAGTTTGGACTTAATGTCTTAGTGGCTCTAAGCAGTGATTTTTCTATCCTTTCTTTTAACCTCTCTCAGGACCATATTTAACACCTGCTGTACAGGGCACCCAGCTCTTTGAGTTGTGGAGTCCTGCTCCGGCATTCCTGCTCTGGCATTCCAGTCCCAGTGTGGGAAATATCCCTCTCTTTAAATTTAGAAAGATGGCATAAACTTAGGGAACAAAGAAACAAGGAAGAATTTATTCAATGTGTTGGGTCTTTCTCTCACTGAGTTTCCGGGGAAAAAACCTTTGGTTTAAATTCCATACATTTTATAGTTTCACAAAATCCCACCTTTTCCAGATAGGTTTTAATGTATTCATATTTACCTAAAAAGGTTTCTTTTCTCTGAAAAGGGGCTTTCCCTTTTTCCCAATTGGCTGCAAGCCATCTCCTGTCAAAGGTGAAGGATCTTCCTCTGTTCTTAGCCCAAAGAGAAAAGAAACCTCATGTACAAAATGGCCTTAAAAGATTTAATTTTTTAAGAATTTTCTCATTTCCCTTATCCTGCTGAAAGAGACCCTGATACCCAAGTTCAGGTCTTGGAACTTGGATATCTTACAACTTCACGATGTGCCTATTTATATAAAAAAACGTATTTTTATTTCTCATACCAGCATTCCTGTCCCGGCATTCCTGCCCCCCAGAGTGTGCTGGAGCAAGGCTGTGGGGTGGGAAGGGCTGATGCCCCGTGCAGCACCTTGCTCATGGTGCTGCTGTGCCACTCCTGCCTCCTCTGACTCTGGAGCTTGCTGAGAGCTGCTGGGGGGGGGGCAGAGGCTGGATACTCCCGTGGTATCCATATGGAAAGAAACAGCAAAGTACTTCCCAGTGGGAAGTTTTACCACAGCTGATAACTTAGGGCATTTTTAAATCCTGGGATAGCTGCTCCTGCTTCCCTGCTTGTAAAGAGTCTAGCTGAGCAGATCTTTTTTCTGTAAGTAGTTTGTTTCCTATTCTTTTATTTTTTCTTCCTAAAGGAAGCCCTGTTTGCACCCTTACCCGTGCTTTATGACTATCCCAGTTAAGGAGAAGTTTTTATACAGCAATTTCCTTTTCCTCAACAAGATCTTTTGCTTTCGATGCTTCATGGTTAATTTTAACCAGATGGGTAGATGTCTTTCACATCTCTCATCTCTCCTTACAATTTTTAAAGAAAACACAAACTGTCAAAATGACCGTTCAGTTCTCAGAAAATGCTAATGAAATTTTTCTCATAAAAACAACAGAGAAAATCATAGTTACAAAATAAATGCCAGTCAGATATCATTAATATCCTCAAAAATGGAAAGAACACTTATACCGACAAAGGAAAAATGCTACAATCAAGTTTGAGTAAATTGATCTATAGTGAATACAGACAGAAATCTTGAGAAATGTCTGAGAAATAACTGACACTGTGTAGTAGTTCCTGCTCTGTAATGTAGGTTTAAACTGTTTCTGATGTAGATGGTTTTTCTACTGAAAACTTGGTGCTCTGGGACAATGATTTTTGGTAATGGTGGTGGATGTCCAGTGTAGCCTTTCAAAATGGACAATATGCACTTTATTTGTTGAGCTGAGACGTGATTTGTGCTTTTGCTTTATTTATTTATTTATAAGTATTAAGGAACGTCTGTATTATGTGTTGAATTTAACAATGACAAAGTTGTCTAATCATCTGTATTCTTTATGTTGAGGGATTTTTTTTTTTTTTTAATGAGTTGAGTTTTTTGGGGGGGTTTGGTTTTTTTTTTCCTTCTTCCTTTCCCAGTAGTTTATATAAATAAAGAAATATAAAAAATTCAGAAGAGTAAGGTGCTGGAGAAGCGCTCCACTTTGCTATCCCAGCAAGAAGTTAATTGTGTCCACACAAAATAAAACTTGAAGGACAAATGCATTGTGTTTGTAGGGCACCTATTTACGGCCACTGAATTATTCCTACTCTGTAATCAGATCCGTGGGCTATGACCAAAGCTGAATGAAGAGTATTTTTCTCTTCAATCATTTCTGGCCACAGAGGTGACTCCAGCTTGTAGAGCCGCTCAGGTGCAAGTGGTGGGGCCCGTGGGGATGCAGAGACTCTGCCTGTTCTCATCCAGCTCAGCACTGCTGAGCAGCAGGAACTTCGCTTACAATCCGCAGCTCCAAAGCGTGTGACAACTTCATTAAATGTGGAGAGCGGCTGTAAGGAATCCAGCCAGCTCTTGCACTGAGCTTCCCTGCAGGGCAAGCTCTCACTTGGCCCAATCCATCAGCCAAGGGATTAGTCCTAATCACCATGCCCATCAGAGCTGGAATACCTCGTTCTACATATGCAAGCTATTAATTTGAAGGAAATCATTACAAAATTTGAAGTGCATTGTCATTAGGCAGCTGTCTACCCTTTCCAGGTGGGAAGGAGCCACCCTACCATGTGTTGGTGGCTTCCTAAGTTAGGAGAGAGCTGCCGTGGCTTTAGGGACTGCAGTTCCTTTACTTTTATTTTGGGAGCTCATTTTAATTTAACTTTCCTGGGTCATTTTAGCCTGAAAAATGTGTGTCTAGAACATGGGTCCTCTGTGCCTGCAATGGAGGGGGAGGAGATTGATTTGGTGGGTTTGCTACTCTCTGCCCAGTGTTTTTAAGGATAAGTTTCAGGTTTATCAAATGCCCTTTTTTCCCCGTGTACTTGCGATTTGACATTTAAAGGTCATATTCTGTGAATTATGGAAATCACTGGGTACTGGAATGAGAAATGAGTTGAAAGAAAAATTGATCAGTAATTAGGAAAGTTAATCCACTCATGGCAGAGAGCCTGAGATTTATCCTGATGTACTGCCGTTCAGTTAGTGTAGATATAAATAAAGCAAGTTGGAAAAAAGAATCTCAGAAATCCTAGTTACAATGGCATAGGTTGGGATCACTAGGCTTCTCAACAGGAAGAGATATTTAAGCAGAATACAGGTTTTATTCCTTATATACATTCTCTGATTTTATGTCATTCTTATTTTTCAAGTACTGAGTGTTTGCTGTTTGAGTTGTATCTGCATCTTCCAAACCATAAGCCCACAAAAAAAAAAAAATTAAAGAGCTAAAAATGGGACAGAGAGAATATCAAAGACATCCACCTTCCCTGTCCTCGTCAAGGAACTATTTCCATTGCTGAGATTAGATTTCAAGCAGGAATGCAGGCATAAATTTTTTTTAACAATTATTTTCTACAGTTTGGCATGCTAAATATAAATGCAGAGATGCATTATGACAAGAATATTTCTCATAAGTATATCAGAAGTGTATGGTTCTCTATTTGAAATTAAAGTAGCCTTTGGCAAACTGTCCGCACGGCTGTGATAAGGAAACACATGGAAATCATAGCTGGGTTTACACAGAGTGTGGTCAGCTCCAGAAGAAGATTCTACTGTCCACAGACAGTGCCTTACGGTATTTTCTCGCTCTCTTACTGTTGGTCATTTACTGTAAAGTTAAAACCAAAATGAAACATTTAGTTTGAACATAAAAGATAGCAGAGAAAGGCACCACAGGCAGTGGATTTTATCCTGTTCAGTGCCCGTGTCGTTAGCAGGACACACATGGCACAAACCGGACCATGAGCAGACCTCTGCTGGGCCCCTGGTCCCCCCATCCTGGGGACAGTGCTTGGGCTGCCTGCTGGGCTGTGGGGCTGCTGCCAGAGATGTTTGGCACCTGGCACTCTGAAAACTAAGCTGATACATTAATGCTTCTGCTTGTTCTCTGCCAGTCTCTTTGTTTTCTGACCAGGGAACAGGAGGTTTCTTTAGGTCCTCTGTTTGTTCTCAGACCAGAAATAACTTTTATATTCAGGGCCAGGAACCGTTACAAGATTTCCATCTCATTTTTTTCCTTTCTTTGTTCCATGTTTCATCTGCAGCTAAATTTGAGCAAACTTAAGGTTTAGTTGGTAACTGAACAGTAAATATAAGTTGGGAAATGCTGATAAGCTTAAGTTTGAAAATTATTGTGAACTTCGCTACTTATTCGAGCAAAATGATAGTTTGGCATTGCCAAACATAGATGGAAAGAAGAAAGAAAAGGAAGGGAGGGAAGAAGGCATGGAAAAAAACCAAAGGGTCTTGAACTCAAACAGAAGTTTCTGGCCTGAAAATTTCTAAAATTTCTAAAACTGCCTCATACATGTTTTATGAAATAAGTACAATTCCTCTGTTCAGATTTTTAAAAGGTATTTACGTTTTTCCTTTCTGTTAAGATCTTACTGTCTTATATTGCTTCGGACAGCTAGATATTAGCCATGAGGTGGTATATCTCATTTGGTAATTATGATCTTTTTACAAGCCCTAGAGGATGTAAGAGGATGAAATATCCCACTTGGGATATTCATTTTACTTGTGCATAAAAAAGACTGTGACACAGAGTGAGAACTGGCACAACACAGAACTTTTTATAGTCCATGTTCCGTGGAAAAGTAATGAAAAATAGGGCTGTGCTCTAAGTGCTCATTGCCAGAGGTGCAGCCTTGGTGGAGGACGAGCAGGGGGTGCCCTGTGACCTCACAGGTGCTGAAGTGTTGGCACCTTGGCAGAGCTCTTTGGGGTGAGGCATTTTGCAGACCCACCGGGAAGGAAAGGGAGGATGGCCAGGGCAGCTGCCTACCTACCACCCCTCGCTGTGGGCTTTATTTCAGGGTGGGCAGGGAGGCAGAAAAGGCCTTGGCTCTTTGTTACCTCTGCTCAGTGATAACGAAAACATCTCTACATTATCAACACTGTTTCCAGCACAAATCCAAACCACATCCCAGACCAGCCATTGTGAAGGAAATGAACTCTACCCCAGCCAAAAGCAGCACTGGTGTGTATGTATATAAGGCTCTTTCTGTGATGATCTCAGCCAAGAAGAGAGCTAGAAGGAGTATCGAGGAAATCTGCAGAGACACAATGATGAGCAGGCCAGCAGGTAGGGAATACAGGAGCTGGAAGATAATACCTGTACCTGGAAAGAAAGCACAGCAGAAAGAGTAGATATTCTCAAGGCTGGCAGATCAGCAGCCACAGGGAACAGAGTGTTTGCCAGAGTGTGGAGGGATGGAGGGCTCACCAAGGAACAGCTCGAGAAAACAGCAGTATAACTTGGCAATCACACCTGTAGCCAATGCCAGGAATGTGAGTAACCATGATCCCAGTCCCTGTGAAGGGAACTCTAGTACAAAAATCTCTCTGGCACAGGCTAGATTAGTCCTTTCAGCCACTTCTTCAGCCTCCTGAACTAACTGAAGTCTCTGGTAGAATAACTACTTGCAGAAGGATGCACAGATGGGGATGAAGCAAAGGACAGATCTTCAGGTGGAGTGGGCTTCATGGAAAACACATGGAATATCAAAGAGGAGGCTTCCACTGCTCCACAGACTTCAGGAGGCAGGAGGATGTGCCAGAAAAGGACAGTGCTGGCAAACCATTGTGAGGGGAACACAAGTCCTCTGAGCAAAAGCGGAAAAGGAAAACAAGAACACAATCCTCAGAGTGTCATTTTAGTGACTGTACACACTTAAGGTAAGCCTGGAATGCCTTCTCTCATCTTTGCCCTTAAACTTCAATGGGATGGCATAGTTGCTTTCAATTAAATTTGGTATTTGTGCTTTGCACAATCTGCAGTGGTGTCACTTTGATGGGAGAAATAAACTGAAAGTGGTGTAAGGAAAGACAAGCCTACAATTTTGCATCACTTAGGAATCCTCTCAGGAGGCAGAGAGGAAGCAAGGCAACAGGAACGAGAAATCAGACAAGAAGTTTACATCAAAGTGAAGAAATCCAAATGAATGATTCCATTCAATTACCTCACAGATACCAAAACAAGACAGCAAGTACAAGAATATAGAATTGTCCTAACAGCAAAACTTGACCATTTGTGGAAATCTTAGACCTTGGGAAGCTGGTATAATCATTGTCTCATTATAGACATGAAATCTGCAGTAGAAGCCATGGAGTGAAGAGTTCAAGCCCTTAAGTTCAAAATGTTTTCCAGAGACTTTGCATAGACTGTTCTGACAGCTGAAAACTAAGATTTGGAGTAGAAAAAGGTGTAGTCATTTTGTCTGGTGGATGTGTACTGACAGCACTAGAAAGTGGAAACTGAAAACAGCTTGGCCATAGGATCAGAGTTAACAGGCCAGGCAGGCACTCAGCTACAGGGAGCAATCAAAGTGAAAAGGTTTCCAAGGTTAAAAATAAATAAATACATAAATCAGTCCTTGAGTGTAATTGCAAGCTAAATACCATTCAGTGCTTATAAGTCACAATAAGTGCTTCTAAATGCCACCTTAAGACTGAGTCAAGAACAGGAAGATGAAGAAAGGTCTCAAAAATTCCCTCAATAACTAGCTCAAAAGACTTGTGTTTACAGGGCATGCATTCGTCTTGCACAGTAGGTAAGCTGATTTTATTTGCATTAAAGTCTGGTGTAAATACAGCAAAAGACAAATGTGACTTCTAAGTTAAGCAGAGAAAAGGGAGAGAAGCTCGAGGCACTTGAAATGCCAGAGGAATGTTACAGGAGACTAATTCTGTTTTTAAAGCTTAAGTAAAAGAAAAAACGTAGATCGATCTTGACTCATTCCTCACTTCACCCTCACCCACTGTTGGTGTAGGAACTGGTTCAGCTCAGATGGGTCTTGTGCAGGTGTGCAGGAACAGCTTTGATTTCCATCCGTGTCCATGGCCTGGGAGTGGGGTGGGAATGTCTTTGGGTGTAGCCCGTCTGTACTGGCAGTTTCTCCAACACTCAGTGCTTAGGGCAAAGTGATGTGATGCCTAATCTCCTCTTACTAGGCACTGAAAGTGGATAGAGGCAGAGGAAATTACTGCTTTTGAAGCAAACATCGTACAGAAACTGGTGAAACACAGAGAGTTTAGTTGGGATGAATATATAAACATATGTGCATAAAACTGTCTCATTGCTTTATAGCTGGACTACTGCCAGAAAGTTTCTCAACTTCTTTGGGGCAGGGGAAGTAAAAAACATTTTAGAAATTATGATACTCACTGTTTCCAAGTAAAATATCTCACCAGGACATGCTGCTCCTTGGTGAAATGAATGCTGTGTGTTGGAACACAAGTTTGTGAAACACAGGAGGTTGCAAAAGAAATCCTTCAGCCTAGGAAAAGCAGCGTTTTGGACCCTCTTGGCTTTGGGGATCTTGCTGCAAGCTCCCTCTGAGAGCAGGGGATGCTGTGCTGTATCCTCTGGGAAGTACCATTTCACCCCTCTGCTGACACTTGGGTTCACTTGCTAGTAGCTGTCTTTCATTCTGCAAAGGTAATTGAGAGTAATTAATAAGGAATTCTGCTTAGCTGGATGATAACCTGGTGGCTGTATCAAAATGACAATAACGGGCATTTTTGCTGCAGCATATAGTAGAAAACAATGGAAAAACTGGAACTGCAGTGAACTGTCACTGACAGAATTGGTTTATAACAGTAGCTGGGTATAACTGGAAACTGTATTTTTCCTTAACTGGTGCCTTTCAAAGAGCATCATATTTTTGCTTTATCAGAAATGTACTAGCATGCTGAAAAGTCGAATGCAAGAATGACTGGAACAGTTATGACAAATGCAGTTTACTTGATAAGGACCCCGATGGTTAAGAGCCACAAAAGGCATCATTGGCTTAGAAAATTGGCATTATGAAGTTGTTAATCCTTCACTTGTAGCCTAACAGAAAGCACACTTGAGAAACCTGGCCTCCATTTTTGGCTCTGCCCATTACCTGCTGGTTATGTGTCTCATTTTTGCTTCTTTATCCGAAACAAGCCCTGGTCTCAGCCTGCTGCAGTGGCAGGATGCTTATATTGCAAAGTATTTTGGGCACTATTAGTGATCACATGGTCTTATCTTTCTGGGGTGGGAGTCTGGTGAGTCTGGGGATGGAAAAGGAACAGCCCCTGCTGTGTTGCAGTGTAGGAGGGTGGTGGCATTGCCAGCTTGCGGTGCAGACACTGCCCTGCGCTGGCCATTAGCAAAGGTAGTGATGTGTCTCCTCATCTCCAGCTTCCAAGAGTGGCAGCAAAGTAAGGATATGTGGTGGTTTGGGCTAGGCCTTCCTTGGTGACCAGTTTGTAACCAAGGAAGGGTCCAGATTTACCTAGTGTTCCCTACGATTTTTACGTAAGCCAGGCTATAAGGAGAAAGGAGGGAAGGCCTTCGCTCTCTTTCCTTCCGGCGGCTTGGAGGTGCAGGTTCCCTGCTGTTGAGTCTGCCGTGTTGGGGAGCGAGGCCTGGTTAGGCCTTGCCGACCTTGGGAGACAGAGGTTGCCGGCTATCGTTCCGGAGCGACTCTCGGTTGTCCCAAGGAGAGTAGTGAGATATTTCTTTGCTAACTCTTTTAGTTGCTGGATACTGGGCTACTAATTGGGATATATTTTTTTTTTGTTTTGTTCCTTTTCCCTTCCCTCTTCCCATTCCCTTGTGAAATTGTATATATATTTCAGTTGTATATAACTGTAACATAAGTGTAAATATATATATATATATATATTACTTTAGCTGTCTCTCTCTCATTTCGGTTTTCTTGGTTGTTTTTTTTCTCCGTCTTCTCCCTGAGGTTTGGGGGGGGGACACGACACACTTCTTGTGGTAAGGTTTGGAGACTTGGCAGGGAGCCAGCTTCAAACCATATCAGAATAGCACAAGCCACGAGCTATTTGGAGAATAACTGCACCAGTTAAAGGACTGTTGATAAAGTAACTGGTATTTTCAGATGTTTCAGCCAACTTTAGAGCGCTGCAGTTAAGGGTGAGATCAGACCAGACTACAGAGGTTGTGTTGGTAGATCCTGCATGTTCTGAGCTAGAACCTCCTGCATCTTTCTCATTTGACATTTCTTTCACCTTCTTATAAATTCACTCTTTCATTTAGTCTCAGCATGTGCAAGGCTGTCCCTGAAATGACTCTTATCCCATGATTTTAGCTTCTGAACAGAATTCCTGATGGTTTGTCCCCTGTTGCTAATAGCACTCCATGAGCAAAGAGGTGTTTCTAGGTCTGCTTGATGAAAGTGAGGTGACAGAACCCCCCTGAGAAGTCTAAGTCAGAAAAGGTGAATGAAAATTAAAAGTAAAACTATTACTGCAACATTTATCTACCAACTACATTGGTAGGATTGTATCAGAAATTATAGCTGTTCTGTTCTTTCCATTACATTTATGGCTCTGTCAGCATTTAGGCTTGTTTTCCCATACTTTCTGAACTTGCTATAAAAATTCACACTGGGCTGAAACTTACTGCACATTTGCTAAACCTCAGTGTACAAGGAGTCTTACTAAAACTAAAAAAAAAAAAAAAAAAAAAAAAATTCTGTTCTTTTAAATTTATTAGAGAAGAATGAAGATTTTATGGTTTGATTTGCATGCTGTCCTGCTTGTTGTCAGAGAAAAGCAGTAGTTGGAAAAGATTTGTCTCTCTAGTGCTCAAAATGTATGGAAAATGGAGGGAATGATTTTTTTTTTAACCATTCAGTATATATTTACAGGTAAGTACTTTGGAAGATCCTGGATTGCAACAAGGAAGAATAACAAGATTAAAAGTAGCAGATGAACATATTGGATCAAGGGTGTACTGATGGCTTTGCATGGAGGTGATAACCATGCCCTATTTTGTAACTCAAACCACTGGTAGCCAAGTGCAGAGCTGTGCAACGCCTGGCATTTCTATTCTGTAGAAAAATGAGATATTTCAGCATTTTTTCTTCTTAAATCTTATCAAATAGTTAAGATATTTAAAAACCTGATTTGGGAAAAATTAAAGTATTAACTTCCTTGGCTTTGCTTATGGCTAAATTAGAGCTCCTTCAGCCAAGCTGTCAGCTCTGGTAGCAGCAGTGCGGGCGAACTTCTCACTGCTTGTCATGGCACAGACTGACAGCAGCCAAGGGAAGAAGTACTGGGTGAAGTTTTTGGTCAGCTCTAGGAGCCCATCCTGTGGGTGTGACAGGAGGATGTGGCTGTCCCAGTCTGCAGCATGTGAGAAGCAGCACTTCACGGCTGAGCTGACTCAAAGCAAAATTTCTTTCTGACATCCCACTCACCAGAAACAATTTGATTTGATTCAAACAATTCGAAACAAGATATTTTGGTCTTGCTCTCCCATAAAAATGCACATTTAAAAATTAATGTTGTCCTGAAACTGTATTTTTCATGTAGGAATGCATTTGGTAGTTGCAAAAAAATGAAATAACAGTGTCTTGCTATTTTCCTGCCTCCTGTGTGTTAATTCTCCAAATGCTTTTAGTCTTATCTCCAAATGTTTAAAGACAATTTAATTAGCAGCAAGGGCTTCTACTGTCTAGGAAAATCCCATGCAATTTTATAACAGGGAAAAATGGAAAAGGATAAAGATCAGGACTATAATTTTTAATTCGGTATCACACTCTCCAGTGTCTCATTATCCTCCTTGTAAATGATTCATAGCTAATAATTGTCTGTGAAGAACAAATGACTCTCCTATTCCCAAATCTCCCACACTTATCCTTGAGATACCTTTATTTTGGATTAAGACTTTCCTCTACAAAGTCTGCACAAACGTCTCTTTCCCCTTTGGCTATCACCAGGCAGAAGATGGGGAGCTGAGGATGTTACCTCTGCTCCTTTCCCCAGGCTGGTGTGTGTCAGGGTTTGCACTCAGCAAAGTCCTTGACAGGCCACAAAGATCAGCTTGGGAGCAGATGCCAAAGCACAGCGATCATCATGGGGAGTTGTCTCCTGTTTTAGCACCTGCGGAATTCAAACCACGGTGTGAGCTCCTAAACTCAGCCAAGAAAGAGAGGCTGTGCTTGACACTTCTTTCCCATGCAGGGACACTGAGGAAAAGTTCCCACCGGGCACTTGACATCTTGAAAAAGGCTTTCTTTGGAGCATGAAGGATCCTTCCTCTGCCTGGCCCGTGGATGCCTAAAATAAATCCTGCTACTTAATCCTTAGATTCAGACACTGTGAGGCAAATTTGCTGTGCCCTGGCTTAGTGACAGTTGATGAGTGTAGTGTGAGAACAGATGGGAACCCTTCCCTGAGTCCAACCACAAGACTTTTAATGAAGAGTCTTAGTCTGTGCCAGGGCTGTTTGTGCCCTGCTTGTTACAAATCACTGTAGGCAGGAGCTGCTGCCTGTTGCTCACCTGACACAGCTTTTCTGGCTGGTGATGCTTAAAGGAGGGTGATGTGGGTATGTCTCCAGTCGCTTCAGCAAGACACTGC